TTTATTAGTTTAGGGACAAAAAAATCACGTAAATGTTATGTTCACGTCACAAATCATTTGCGTGGAATGTTCACATTGCAAATCACTGAGCGTCATGTTTACTTTACAAATCAGTAGGTGTTATGTTTTACGTTACAAATTACTTAAGTGAAATATAAGATAGTGAGTGTAAACCAACCATCATTTGAGATCAGTGTAAATTTGCCTATATTGTATTGCATTTAAAAACATTTTTTTTTTTTTAATAGAAAAAATAAAAATTCAACCTATTAGTTTGTGATGATGAAACAGTAAATGGTTCTTCTTCATTATTGATTAGCTTCCTGAGAGGATAAGAAGCTTTATTTGGTGCTAATAAAAGCGGTAATGATCGAATCGAATGACTTCCTGATGCAGCTACACGATCCAAGATTGTTAAACGTCGACGTGATGGCATTACTTAAACGCTTGAAATTTTTATCAATTGAAAAAATTTAGGGATGAAGTCTTAAATTTTATTTGTGGAAAATAAAAACTTCTAAATTGTGGCAATGTTTAAAAAAATGAATTTTTTTTTTTTGTTTAAACTTTAAACTTTTAAATTTTAGCATAAAAAGTTTAACAAAATGTATATAAACATTTCTCCGGTAGTGTTGGATTAAAAGTTAGCAATGGTATGGTTGTCAAAGTTGTCATTGTTGTTGGTGCTATCGTTGTAGATACCGTAAAAGTGATCATTTCATTATTTTCTTCCTTATATTCATCATCATCATCATCATCACTGCCATCAGTGGAAAGTGTAAAATCCCATGATCGATTTATTTCCTAAATTTTGATAAAACAAAAAAAAAAACAAATGGAATTTATAAAATACATTTAAATTTTTAAAAATATATTTTCTAATGAAATTAGAATAAATTTCATTAAAAAAGCTTTCAATTTTGCATTAACTTACTTTCAACGATTCACTTGTAAATTTGACACTTTCATTATTTTTCTCTGTTGCTCGACGATTTCTACGGCATCGAGGTGGCTAAAAGTTTTTCGCCTTTTTTTAAAATCATACTAAAAAAAAAAACTTTTTCAATAAAAAAAGCAACCAAGCATTAATTGTTATATGACATTTGAATCAAAATTGAATCCAATAAAGATTTCGTAATTTGTCAGGGAAACAACGATAAAGTAACGAGCGCATAAATTTTAATTTGAATTTAATATTGTTATGGAAAATTTATGACAATGAAACATACCAAAATGCTATCACATTCACCCAGTAAACGATCACAAAATCGCAGATGACATTGCATTTTAATCATTGAACCGTCCGGAAATTTAACTGCTTTGCCGACGGCAAAAACGGATAGCGATTCCACGTATTCCGGTGAATCAATTACCGATTTACATACTAATTCAAGAGTCTTCAAAAACTGCTTGCTTAA